ATCACATCACAATCATATTTGTGGAGTCAGAATTATTGGAATTTAATAAAAAAAACATTCAACTTGATATTTCTTACTAGTACTCAATGAAACGTGGTAGGTTTTGTTACACTTATCGCTTGCTATGGTCCGTTGCTTATTATCAATTATGTAATAAATAGTTCTATCTGAATTTGGTAAAAATGCAATAAAGTAATTGTGTTCCTGTGGCTGTTTTTGAAGAAGCTCAAGAAGCATTTTTCCATTTATTGCCAGCGAAATTCAGGGAACATTACGAAAAAGTGTTCGCCGAATTTAACGAATGGAGGGAAAAAATGGAGAGTATTGACAATAAATAAAAAAGTCATGCTATCGTATTTTTTAAATTTGAAGAAAAAATATGCAATTTCATCTATGTGGTCGAAGTATTTGATGTTGAAGGCTACTATATAGGTCTACAAAAATATAGATACTGGAAAATAGCTTACTGCTTATTTGACGAGCGAATCGAGAGGATACAAAGCAAAAAAGCTGTAGTATTGGAAAGAGCACATATTGAAGAATTTTTTACCGTGGCTCCCGATAAAGAATATTTAATGGTTAATGTAATATCTCTTTACCTTTTACATGTTGTTAGGTACATAGTGTAATTTGAAATTATTTTAGGTTGCACTAATGGGGGTTTCTGGTGCCTGAATATTGCAAATTCAGAAGAAGATACTGGCCATTGTATGAGGCGCACTTCAACAACTTTATTGGCTAATAAAATAACAACCATCAAACGGCATGGTGGATGGAAGAGCTCCTCTGTAGCAGAAAGTTATATTGAGGAGTCTATATCACACAAACTTGATATTACAAGGAAAATCCAAGGAAAATATAGTTGTTCCTTGCAAGAAGAAACTTCTGTAACTTGTGCAAATTCTTCACAAACCTCGGCAAATGTTATGCGTTCCGAAAATTCTGGCAACAATGCTACAAGGGTTGTTATTAACGAAAGGAAGTTAAATGTGATAAAAACAAAAAACGAAATGTCTATTACTATAAATGTAAATGTTAATAATTAAATATATTAAATTTGATTTATTATAGGTTTATTATTTTTTCATTATTCTACCAGTCAAATAGTTACTTTATTCCACTAGTGGATAAAGTATCACCTTAAGCGGTTCATATGTGTGAATAAAAGTCCAATTATAAGGTGACTGTGGATAAATGTCTTTTAAATGTATTCTGTACATTTTGAATTTGTGAAGGTGTTTTATGTGTTTTACTTCATTTCACAGGAGATTTTAAGAATTTGTATGCAATCTAAAGCTACCTAGCTGATATATTTTAAGACTATTTCAAAGTTTTTTTTTTATTTCAAAGCTTACTCGATGAAATTTTACGTACTTTGAAGCTACTGAGACTAATGTCAGGCTTAGGCATAAACCCAAGACAGGGGATCTAAATTTGGAGACTGGAACTTATCTCTGTTTTAACTATTTAATATTAATATTGAGTATTAAAAAAATCACTTCATTCGTTTGATATTCTAAAAGTAATAATTATTTTTAATTTTAAAGACACATAAGTAGGTCGAACATCTACCTATATTTTTCTATGCTCTCTTGGAAATAATTTTTAATTACACATATTTTTTTTAGAAAAATATTTTTAAATTTGTATAGGCTCCTTTTTAAATAATATTTTAATGTTTTACATCCTATATAATATTTTGTAATGATGTAAAAAATAAAAATGGAATAATTTTATTTGATCTTTCATTATAATTTATGAATATAAAAAAAAATACAGTATAAAAAATATCATTAGAGAATGTGGAAGTCTTAAAATAAACCAATTTGTGGAGACAATCAAATTTAATGGAATAAAAAAACAGTATAAGAAATATAATTGGTAGAACTGATGACGATTTGAACAAAAATAGAACATGATTCAATAAAAAACACCTAGTCTGATTGAAAAACAAATAACGAAGTCTATAAAACCACAACAGGTAAAGTACAATTTTTTTTGCATTGGAAATTTTGTAAAAACTCTCAATTTTGACGTGATCGTAGATAAAATTATATTTTTCTATTGGGCGGAACATTGTCAACGTCAGTGCACCTGGGTAGTTCAACTAAATATGCATTTTCTGATATTCGTTTTAGAATTCGAATATATTTTAATCCGAATCTAGTGCCGTAAGGATTGAGATTGCATTCTACTGTTCAGATATCGTTTATAGTTCGAGGCATCTAAGAAATCCAATTAAGCTTTAATACGAGTAAGCTGCGATCTACTTCTATTTTCACTTCATGACTCCCTACCTACCGGGTTAGTCGTGCTGATAACAGGCGAAACTAGAGGGTGTCAGGAGATTAAACCATTATTTTAACATGTGATTACCCGAGTCAAAATATAAAGGATGAGGCGTTGTTAGGTGTAAAAAATTGTTTTTATTTTGGCCAACGCACCATTGTCTCCTTTACGGAGGTTTGTCGGGTACGGAGGTACATCTAAAGTCTAACGAGAGTTTATGTAGATTCGCTAGTGACTAAAGTAGTAAGCCTTTAGATTTATCAACGTTGCACTTGGCTGGCTCGCTCGCCTCGGCGTTCGCTCGCTCGCGTTTGATCATTCTGTTTGCTTGGACACCTGCGAATTTCAAATAGTACGCTACGTCGAGATCGCGGCGTTGCCACTATCTCGCATATGGAGGATAAGTTAGTCAACGACAGCAGCTTGAAGGAGAATTATTATAAATTATGTATCTTACAAGTACTTAATCGATTTCTACGAGCTGTCATACGGTTCCTTAGATATCGGTTTTCTATTTATACCAGTTGCTGTGGAAACTGTTCGTCAATTGTTGCGCATTCTAAGTAGAAAAACCAAAATAATCTGCATTCTCGTAAGACTTCGTATTAAATCGTGAAAAATTATTTTATTAATATCTCTTCTCTTAGGTATCCAAACTAGTCATAATTTTGTTTGAGGAATTTCTTCATATTAATAAGCTTATATTAATTTTTTTTATGAATATTTGTTTGTCAATTCCAAATCAGATAAACCTCATTAAAAATATAATAAGCACTAATTTTTTTGGTTTCAAAACACATCAAAATAAGTACCAAATAACAGATTTTAACAAGCATTTGAATTTTTTGCGAAACGAGATAATCTAATTATGGTCACCGTTGGATTGGTCACTCAAAACCCTGCAACTTTTGTGCTAATCAATTTTTTGTTTGAGCGATATTTTTTGAGATAGAGGGGGTTCTACACTTTTTGAACACCTTGTATGTTTGGTCCATGCCAACTTAGATGAAAGAAATAGAAATGTCCTTGCATTTAGTGTAAATGCTCAGATATTCTTTTCTTTGCCCTTGGATATCCATTTAATGGTTTATTCAATGTTCCTGTATCCGTTTCCTCTAAGACTAGATTGCAAATGTTATAGTTCTCCTAAGTTTGCAGGTCTTCAGATGGCACGTACTCGATGTATCAATGCGTTGACAATACCGTCTGAATTAGCTTCCTGTAAACGCTGTGGCAAGGTGTCATTCAGTTTTCTCCTGATAAGGACATCTATATATATATATGACTTTTTCCATCACCTTACTCTAGGACTTTCCCTGAAGGCTTTCATATACATATTTTTCATAACTAGGGACAAAGGACCCACTTGGTGCTCACTTTGGACAAGTCCATTAAATTGGCATCTGATGAACCCTCGATGGAGTTATTCCAAAACTCCTTTAATGGCACTACTGTGAATAATGACGTCACATCAAAACTTTTTACTCTACAATCTAGATCTTGTTCGATTCCCTTGATCTTGTCATTAAATTCTACAGCGTTTTTGATATGTTCCGTATTTCTTACTAGATCTTTAATTTTGATGTGACACGTATCGAACACATCGTTCATGGCCTATCCGATTGCATGTACTATTGGTTAGAATGGTACGTCTGGCTGGGGGACCTTTGGAGGGCAATGAAGTAGTGGTGTTTTTGGACCACTCTAAATAAGGTACGTATATAGCTTCTTGGGAATGTTAGACGCTTTAATCGCAGATGGTAACTCTTTCTCAACTTTCTCAATTGAATTGTTTTTAAATCTCTTAAATACTAGGTCTAGCAGTAGATTCTCTTCTTTGGATATGCACTCTATTGTACTTAAGATCTTCAGTTTCCTTCAGTTCGTTGATGACCTAGACTTCTTCTCTAGACATATTCGGTTTCGGAGGTGCTACCTTAGCCCGTGACTTATTGATGGAGATGTTGGAACGTGGTCTCCAAAGAGTCTCTTTAGAAATCGTCTTGGGTGCTATGACAAAATTCAGGCCTTTGGCAAGCACATTATCTAGTTGTGTATATAAAAGTTAATAACGATTCTAGATCTGTCCAATTTGTTCGTTTGAGATGTTCTTCGAGAAGCAGTTTCTTCTTCTGCTTATTTGGGACTTCTTCTCTTGTGTATTTCTCCACCAGGTCTCAGGTGTTCTTGTTTAATTTGCTGTTGCTTTAAGTTGAAAATGTATTTCTGGAAGGTTTTCCTTTAGTTGTTTTCTGGTGTTTCTGATCCTCAAGTGCTAATTTGAACTGCGTCCGTTTGGATGTGACGTTTTACCTCAAAAAATCCTGTCATGATCAACTCGTTTCGACATAAAAATGCCAGATGGATTAACATTAATTTTTCTTTCAAATTTCAAAATATTAAAAATAATTTACACATTGCAATATTTGGAAGGAAATAACTTCAGAAAATATTTATATTAGATTACTGTCTAACGAAAGGGAGCAGCTTCTTAAATATCTCGCAGAAGCTAGCTCGAGTATCGTAAATAATAAAAGACAAACAATGGAATATTACAGCCTCTAGGGGGAGCCCTCATTGAACGGAATCTTATAAATCGCCCCATTAAATGTATGGGCTCTCCCCAGCTCATTATAACCGGGGAGATAATTCCCTTAATCCGTTAAATAAATGAGAATAGACAATTCAGACACAGTGCTAATTATACTTACGAGTATATAGGGGTTCTTCGGTTATCCCCGTCCTTAAACCAGATGACTATATGCATTTTGTCACCCGGAAGGGAAGGCGTAATGTTGCAGGGAAGCTTCGCGACGCCCCCTTGTACCGCCTCGATGTTGTACGTAATCGAAACTGGAAAGAGAAAAGAAACGAAATAAGAAAGTGTCTTTTTTTCTAACACTACCGCAAATAATGGTAATAGTTGCATAGTTGCTTTTGGTCTGCGCATAGCAAGAATTATGACATATTATACAATGTGGATTCCAAAGTAAACGGAACTTTTTAAAAATAGTAATAACCAAAATTTTCTTTAGTAAAATCGATTTATTTTATACAAAATAGTCCTTCAGGATGTTGGTACAAGACTTCTTGATGACTTCTACATCCACAAAACGTTTTCCTGTAATCGGCAAATGCATTTGTAGGTAAAAGTCGATAGGTGCCAAATCAGGCGAACACGGGGTTGACAGTTAAAATGCGAATTATAGTAAAAAAATCGGTGACTAGTTCTGATTGATGAGATGGCGCATGGTGCAACAAACGCTAACTTCCTTCTGCGCGATATTCTGGACAGATATGGCGAAAACGATGCACCAAACTCTTCAAAACTCCAAGATAGAATTGTCTATTAATGGCATCCTAGTAGTCCAATCAATCTGGCACGGCCTAACGTTAAATTTACAAAAAATACCACCTGGAAACAAAAAATTAAGAAAGATAGTGTTTTTTTTCCTGTGGCGCATAAACGGCAAAGTTAACCTAAAAAAATCATAAAAGTAAAANCTACATCCACAAAACGTTTTCCTTTAATCGGCAAATGCATTTGTAGGTAAAAGTCGATAGATGCCAAATCAGGCGAACACGGGGTTGACAGTTAAAATGCGAATTATAGTAAAAAAATCGGTGACTAGTTCTGATTGATGAGATGGCGCATGGTGCAACAAACGCTAACTTCCTTCTGCGCGATATTCTGGACAGATATGGCGAAAACGATGCACCAAACTCTTCAAAACTCCAAGATAGAATTGTCTATTAATGGCATCCTAGTAGTCCAATCAATCTGGCACGGCCTAACGTTAAATTTACAAAAAATACCACCTGGAAACAAAAAATTAAGAAAGATAGTGTTTTTTTTCCTGTGGCGCATAAACGGCAAAGTTAACCTAAAAAAATCATAAAAGTAAAAAAAAAACGGTTTTAGTTAATAAAAAAAAACTTGAACTCCAATCGGAAAAAGTTAAATGAGAAAGTTGTAGCTATTAAAAAAACCTATCTATTCGTATTTTTAAATATATCAATTGTTATATTACTTTTCGAGATATATCGAAAAAACCGTCAAAAATCGACTTTTTCTGTTTTTACTGTATCTCTTGAAAATTCAGATTTTGACACTTGTTACTTGCTGTAAATGTTGCCCCCGACAAGCAAAAAAGTGTCTTTTTTTAATTAAAAAATATTAAACATTTTTCGAGTTATATCGATTTTTCGAAAAAAAGGTCATCTCGAAAATCGGTTATTCTTGCTCGACGAATAATCGTAGAGAAACGAATCAGGGCTCACTTTTTTTTCCTAAGAGTTGTACTTTCATGGTAAAAAAGAGTAATAACGATTTTATTAATTTCAAGTGTCCAATAATGACTTTGAAAACAGTAAAAAATTTTTTGCTCGCGTTTCTTTTTCGATATTCATTTCTCGATTTCTCTACTACAGGAATCTATTGCTGGCATTTTTACGTGAATTTAAAGAAAAAAACGTTGCTCTATGACCTTCTGGAGCCGAGAATTTTTTTTTTCGAAAAATTACACAGGCCGCTATTTAAGTGCTATAGCATCTATTCCTCCATAGATTGAAGTTGAAGACTTATATTTTCAATAAAAAAATACTGTGGTTCATTTTAGCCACTTCTGCATTTTTAATTGTGCGTCAAACTGAAGCAAATCGAGCGCGGCGCGAGCTAACTACAACAGGCGGCGGAGTGGGGGTAACACTACTCGGCCGCTCCGAAAACTGAATTTGAGCGTTCAAAAGCGCTCTTACTTTCAAAATCTTCATTATCTCGACTTCTGGACCACGTACAAAAATCCTTTTGTACTTAATCTGGGGTAGCTCGACGAGATAAATCAAAATTTGACGTTTACGACGGCTTCAAAGGCATAATTATCTTTAAAAAATGTAATTTTCCTTTAGTCTAAAATTCTCTCATCTCTTGTCAAGGTTATGAAGGTTCTACCTTTTCGACGGATATAATTGCCAATAGATGGATTCACTAGAAATACCTATTTTTGAAAGTCCTGTTTACTTTTTCAGCACAATACATTTTTCAGAGGAAAAAAAAAGGTTTTACAGAGTTTAACAGTTTTAACTGATAATTCGACAGCAGGCAGACCGAGGGAAAATAAACTGACATTTTTATATAAACATATGTCGAAAACTTAACAGTTTCCGATATTCAAGGTGCTCAAGATGTATTACGAATAAATGTTTCTTCAAATAACTTTAAAGCAGTTTGAGATGTCAAAATTATGATAAAAAATTAATTTTAAGTTAAATAGTTGAGAAAATGCATTCATGTAATATAAAAAAGTTAAAAATCATAATAAAGAATAATTTATTAAAGTGAGATATCATACTAGTGTACAGGTTTAAGCAAATTTGAAAAATTTCAAAATTTTGACAAGTTCAAAGGATGGAGAACAAATGAAAAACATGCAATAAATCAAGTATAAAATTAAAGTATAGCATACCTACAATATGAATTTATGAGTGGAATTAAACTTGAGTAATGACAGATCTATGTATCGTCAAAAATTTGTAAAATTGTAGATTTAAAAGTGTTGTTGAACTGCAAAAGACGAGTAGTTTGTGCAGTGTGTAAAAGACCATCTAAATATCATAAACTGTATTGAGATCCTAATTCAAGTTCAAATTTGTGTATAAACTTTAAAAGTTTTCTATGAATCGGTAGACCTAACAACATTTCAATCTATAAGCTACATAAACAGGAAAGGACTAATAAAAAAGCGAAAAAAAGTTTCTGAAGACATTCATTCTGAAGACAATGAATAAATCTACAGGCAGAAAATCAAGCTGTATAGCATAATTTAGTCAAAATTCTCAAAATTAAGTAACATTTGTTGAAAGTTTAAAAGGTAACGTAGAGAGAGGTGAAAGGTATCAAAATACTCAGAAAAATTAATAGAATCTAAATATACTAAGATCATGCTGATTAGAACATGCATAAAGTCAGTATTTTAAAATAAAAAAATTCTCAGAAGTATAGTTTGACATTTCTATGACATTTCTATGGCAACGAGTCATTTGTTTTTAGTTGAATAAAAATAAAAATCGAAGTCGACGTAGCCAGTCTTTCATAAGTTTCCGAGCAAGAAACGTCGTTAATTTTGTACCTGAAATAACAAAAGAATATCAGTAAAAATCAGCAAGTTAGTTAAAATTACCTATCTAGACACAAGAATCGCTAAACGTCAAAGTCATCTTGAGTGATGTCAAATGTCAGAAGCAAACAATATTCAAACAGTGCAGAAATCCATAAAAGTTTTTGATTACAAGTAGTGCTCATAAAATTTCGACACTAAAATTTGAATATATCGTGAAATAAATAAAAGTTAATAAAATTATAATGTGAAGTGAAGTTAAACATATAAATTTCAAAACAATCGCATATGAATACCACAAAATCAAATTTCATTTCTAAAAGTTTAATATGTCGGCATACAATTTTTAAATCATAAAATTGCAAATATACCTAGGTAAAAGGTGTAATTATTATTAACATAGGTTAAGTAGAAATTTGTCAATTATAAAGTTTCATTTGAAAAGTTGTAATATATCCAGATTTGTTAAACTTCTCTCTATTTTTCATTTTAAAATAAAGTTAAGTGAAATCAGACAAGACCGAAATAAAGGAAACAACACCCTGTAGTTGAGTCAGCTCTACACAGAATAAATAATTACAACATATAAAAAATTTATGGCTTCCAAATAAATAAAATCATAAATTAAAATTCAATCATCAATTTCGTTCATTCAAAACAACAACAAAACAAAACAATAATTTATTTGGGATTTATTTTTTTGGGATCTAGTCCTAGTAAGTATAAAAGCATTTTAAGAACTATGTTCGTATACACTTGTTTTATTTTTATAAATAGAATCTCAGTCCAACCAACAAAATTTATCTGTTCTACTGGAAATATCGAAATTTCATAAGAGAAAAAATTGTAAAAATTAATTTTGTAATGTGTTAACTAACCACAGGCGTAGGTAAAATCTACAATTTTCATATATGTTCAAAAGTTAGTCAATTTATGCAGTTGTTATAATGTACATCCTCAAATTATTGTCAAGGATCCACGTTTTACTATTTCGATTTTGTGTGTTTATTTCTGGGGGGTTTTAAAAATACTTGTATATTCAGCATTTTCATAATCCTCCCTCTGTATTCTCCCACAAAAGCCGAGTGTGAAAGAAGCAGCTTATAAAGCTACCTGGCTATTCAGGGCGGTATATTAACAATAAACTCCTTGAACAAGATGCAATTTTAAAGCGTCAGAGGTGAAATATTTAAGGGGTATGTAAATTATTATACCGGCTCACAATTTAGAATCCAACGAAAACGTCTGGACACTTTTTATTATTAAATTTACATCCTGGCGTAACTACGGTTAGGGGTAAAATAAAGGAAAAACTGCCGCGTCATTCCTTTGAATATAAAACAATGAACGTGGTACCCGGTTTTATTTCTTCACTTCTAAATTAAATTTAAAATAAAGCCCGTTATATTTTACGGCTTATGGTACGCCGTGGACCTTGTACTCCCCTCGAAATGATTAGCAGTTTATTAAATATAAGAGATGTAGAAAGCTGTTAAAATAAATGGTACCCATTCGGTGAAAAGTTTGCCACCGTTTCGATTTAAATATTTTGTTACACTTTCAATTTATACTATTTATCTTTGTTATTCCTACTACCCAAATTTCAAGAAACTGATTTAATGATAATTCATTGCAGAAAATAATCGTGCAAGACATAAAAATTTTGCTGCAGTTTTAATTGATAAATTAATTACGTGAATCCTTGCTGTTCCCCCTGCAACTATGCAATTGGTTTAA